GAAAGCAGAAAGAAGAATGAACACTAAACTATAGACCGATTCAATAGAATTTAAAGAAAATGTAAACAAACGAATAATCGACTCGACCATAGACAATGTTGATATCCAATAGATACAATAATCAATTGAATATTTCTATTTGTTAGTTTATTTTTTAAAGAGTATTTCTGTGATAATTTCAACAGAACTTAATTACATTTTCATTACTTAAATTTCATTAAAAAGTTCATTAAAGAGATTATAGTTAATTTCAAGCAATTTACAGCAAGGTTCTGCGGACGAAGTCGCGGACGCAACTAGTGTATCGTATATAACGATATTTTTCCAGAACTGGTTATTGTATACAAAGTCTGTATACAAATATGATCCATGATCTGACGGGGCAATTAGTATGATTGCTTAAGGCACTTACTGACATTATAAAGTTAACGTACGCTTTCTTTGTAAACTATGAGTATAGGTATATAAATTGGTATATAGCTAATAATAAAATATGTAATAACACATATAATTAAATTAGCCCTTTATTATAAAAAAACATATCATCATCATCATTATATCTGTTGCTGTAGTTGCCATGCATGGCACGCGGGTTTGCAACCGCAGTTAGGATCTGGTGCTGTTTTTTTTGATGGGTGAAAATGGTATGGTAACCTCGCCTGCGCTAACGGGATACGCTGGCGGAGCACCAGTGAAGGGTGATAGATGAGAATGAAAACAGGCCAGTTAGCCCATCATGATGATAACTAAAATTAAATAAACTAAAATCAATTTCAAATTTATATACTTGAAAATTCAGTCATTTGGTCTAAGAGACAGTGTTACATGGATACTGGTTACCTCACTGTAATTGCAATGTATGCATTGAGTGCGAGTAATGCGCTAGTCCTTCAACCCTATCACGTGCTTGATATGAACGATACAACAACATCTGGCGTCTCTTTCTTTTTCATACGTGCGCTAATGAAAATGTTTCTACCAATAGATTAATTTACTACTGGTGTAAGGCGGCTATTGTTAGTGTACTGTATCCTTGTTTAATTAATACAATGACATTCAATTTATAATGTAGGCATACAATTTTAAGCCAATTAAACAGATGCCAAAAGTTTTGCCACATGTTACGTTCAATGTTCAATTCATTCCATTTCATTTAGATTAGTAATGAAAATTATTATATGTATAGTTTTTTAAAAATGGACCTTCAAAAACAAAGATCTTCGTCAGCAAGCATTTGGTAATACAAGTATGTAGTTATTCCTCACTCATGCACACACATAATTCTACAGTTGAATTTTATAGATTTAACTAGATTTTGTTCTGCATATTAAGTTTAATACAAACTGCCAAAATACAAATTATTAAAAAATATAGCCAGTTTTATTCGAGATAATATAAGGATTCTAATAATACTTCATTGGTCTAAATCTGTTTAGGCATTTATGAGTTGTGGTATAAAAAAAACTCACATGCATATATGAAATCTGAAAACATTTTTCTCCTTTTCTGGGAATCATGTAAATGTTTAACCTCCTTACAATACTTAGTAACTAGGGTATCATTATCAAGTAATGAGTTTTGAGCGGAAGTGACGTATCTAGAAATTGACAACGTTATGTCCGGTACATCGTAAGTAATCTGTTAATATTTTTAGGGTTTCGTGCCAAAAAGGTTTGTCCGTTTATCAAAACGTTTGTTGTTATAATATTTTAGCAACCGTTAATGTTATCGATTTGAAATTCGGAACACTTTTAAATAAAGATAACTCTTTCTTTATGTTTATAGGCGACGGTTATTGCTTTCCATCAAGTGGGCCCGTCAACTTGTTTGCTATATCTAAGTATCGTAAAAAAACCGCGCCAGTGTATACCGTTAGCGCAGGCAGGGTTAAAATTACATTATCATCCATTACAAAAAATCTTGTAGGATTTATGCTAAATTTTGCTTGTTTGTGGGTGAAATTTTTGTGTACATTGTTCACGGTCATTCACTACTTATTACTATGTATGAACGCTGTTTCTTTATAAACGTACAACAGTTTTTTAAGACAAGGTTACAGAATATTTAAAATGGTAAGGTAAAGGTAAAATGTAACACAATACATAGGTAGTTTTCGACAAATCGACCAACTTTCCCTAAGGAAATATATTATCTACCGTGCATTGTTTCTACCATGAAGCAGTTGTTGTATGTTTGTGTTTCGGTTTGAAAGATGGGATATGGCAGTAAATTTACAGGCAACAGAGGAATAACACCTGAGTCTTCAGGAATGGCAACGTATGGGGAATATTATGGGCGAACAATATAGTCTATTCTATCCATGGTATTGCTCATATCTATAGGCGACGGTTACCACTTTCCATGAGGTGGACCGTCAGCTTGTTTGCCATTCTAATGTTGGAACAATAAAATTTCATTAAAATCAGTTGAGCGGTTTCGTAGATTAGCTTGCATAAATATTTTATTTTTATTTTTATTATTTTTTATGCAATTTAGAATGGAAGCTGACGGCCCACCTGAAGAAAAGTTGTAACCGTCGCTTATAGACATGAGTAGTACCATGGAAATTACAGAGTATACTGTTTCGCCTATGATAGCCCCCATGCTTTGCCATTTCTGAGAACTCAGGTGTTATCCCTCTGTACCCTGAAAATTCATATCCCACCCTTCAAACCGAAACACAGCCATGCAAACACAACTGCTTCACGGTAGAAACACGAATGGGACAGAGGTGAACAAGCAAACGACTTTTGTACAGTCTCCCTCTGGTAAACATTGTGACTTGGGATTCATTTAATTAAGAAGATTGTAAGCTTCGAAAAAAAATGTACATAGATTTTTTGGGATAAACTAGCTATAGAAAGTAAAGAATAAATAAAATTAGAAAAATAAATTTTGTTTACTGTATCATCGTTACAAATGCCTAAAAGGATTTGAATGAAATTTTATAATCGTGTAGAATGTTTATAAGAATCGGTCGAGAGTATTACGCAGTTTATTGTCCGTCCATTATATGAAGTGGCGTAGTAGTTAGAACGTAGAAAATTTTTTGTTAAGTAATTGGATAGACTGGCATGTTTACGAAAAAGTCCTATTAATGATCAAACAACCATAATGTTTTCACCAATTAAGTTAATTTTCATTGGCAGTAAGTATAAGATACGCAATTTTCTTTATATTATTATGCTATATGTTGTAAGCGAAATTATGGACTTTTAAGTGAATTATTTAAATCTATCTCTAAAATTTAAATTTCAATTAGACATCATAGCGAAATCTTAATTGTAAAGACCAACATAAACTCATTTTTTAATAGATTTAAGTTAAAAATAATTTTATTTTAGTTTACGATGGTCAATAAAATAGTAATTTCAGAAAAAAAAAAACTAATAAATAGGTTTAGATACATAGCACCTTAGAATCACATTGTTTCTTACGTGATAATATTCGATAAGATCGGACCGAAAACAGCATTATAGAGTAGATAGATCCTATGTTTAAAAAAAGAATCCAGCCTAACAGATTGAATCCTAATGTTTGTATTTCTAGATCTAGATTTGGATTTTCTTCTTTTTTATAATTTAGGTAGCAAACGAGCATGCGGCTCATCTGATGGTAAGCGATTACAGCCTCCCTTTGGCACACGCACCATGAAAAAAATGAAGAAAAAATGCAAGTGTGTTGCTGGTCTTTTTAAAGAACTTTTTGGAAATTTAAAAGGATTAAAATTTCATATTTTTATTTGAAATTTATGCTAGCAAACTAGCTATAGTTAGCTAGTATAATTGTAATGTATAAATTTATAAATAGTGATAAACTTCTTTCTTTGCGTAATTATTTAACTTGTTACTGAAAATGGGTACTTTGATCATTCCATATTCTATTATTGGTGTAATTATATTCGTGACGTAGTCAAGTAACTCGAAGCATGTCATGCTTACTGCAGCGTAAATTGTCGACTTGTATAGAGCAGTAAAATATAGTTGAATGCCATAATGACTGTGCTCAGAGGAATTGTTCAATATGATGCCCACGGTCACTTTCTACTATCGTACAGCTCGTCAGCGACAAGGAGTTCTCCTTGCAGCCCAGATAGTTGCGTACACCGTGGTTTCAGAGATGTTTTCTCCCATGAACGATCAGGTTCTGAAATAAGCTCCCTGTCGAGGTTTTTCCAAGAGACTAAAGCATGGGGTTATTAATAAAGGGGTAAAGAGGTTTCTTCAGGGTCGGCTAATACCCCTGCTCGCGCGAAATACCCCTGGTATTGAAGACGTTTAAAGGCTACGGTAACCGCTTACTATCAGGTGGGCCATATGCTTGTTTGCCACCTTAGTGGTATAAAAAAAATATGTTATATTCGAGAACGGGTATTCTAAGTCTGTTCATGTTTACTATTCATGACTCATTACAAAATTTCACTTTAAATAATGTAAATACTAAATGCTGTAACGTTACTTCATTTTTTATAGATACTTAAATATTTTTGAACAGAGTGACTACCGATTTTTTGTATGTTTCTCTTGGCATTTTCTTTTGTATATCTGTTAATCTATAGGATTTATTTTCTTCTATAGCATATGTAAAGGTAGTTAATGTTTTGTAAAAAAAAAATATTAAATTAAAATAGTAATAAAATTATTTTAAAAATAAAGAAAAAACTGTAGAAATTATTAGAAGATGAGGACTGAAAATTCAAATAGGACTTATTTAAAAAAAGTACTTAAAAAATCAACTTTAAAGTTAGGTTTTAAGATTTTAAAAATAAAGAAAGTATTGATTGCCATTAATAAGTTGCAATTTTATTAAAATGGATGAATATTGTCATATTTTTAATATTTAGTAAAACTAACACTATTGGTTCATAATATTAATAGTTTATGATATGAGAAAAGTTATTTTGTAAAATCTTTTTCACCACTCGTTGAGAAGTCCTTTGCCTTGTTAATCTTAGTATTAAAATTAAAAAAAAAAAACTTATTAAGCAAAAATGTACTTACAGAAATAATACTTCTTGTCAGAGGGTCTGCCCCAACACAAAACTGACCACTGGTTTTTCACCGCCGAACACGTAAAGTTGACCGTGCCACACAGAGCACAACCTGGTATATTAGCTAGTATAGTGTCCTCCCTAATCAAAGTCTTCCCGTGCGGCGAGACGATAACATTTTCCTGGTTCTCCTTCGCCGTCATTAAGGGAGTAGAGGCCACAGTTTCAGAATTCGTACTCATCGCGGGATTTTTTTTTTTTATTAATTATTCGATCCCAATGAGCACGGAAGTGCTCTGTTTACAGCGGTCGACGGACAACTGATATCAGTAGCGGTCATAGGCTACTGTGAAGTTAATCAGACATGTTGATGTTGCTAGTTATTTTTTACAAGTAAACTGTTATCAATTTGTCGGTGTCTTCCACTCTCAGTTAATGATGTGCGATGGTGATGTGAGGACCGATGGTTTTTATCAATATCGATATTTGATAACTTGAAAAAGTTTAAATATCGTAATTCTCAAGATTCTATAGAACTATTTTTTAAATTATGTAGCGAGGTACAGTTACATGTAAATGTTACATGTAATGTATGCATTAAACTTATGTCATACCTAATGTTTTGGTTTAGCGTTCCAAGGTGTCAATGTGCTCATTAAATCAGCTGCAACATATAGCTCCAATTCAAGCATATTCTATCTTATATTTAGTGTAAATCACATTGAATTACATTACGTCACTTTTGCTCATCTAAAAATAATAATATACTAACTGGATTCGCGGCTTTGTTTAAGATAACGTTTTTCTATGTTTTCTTTCAGCATAATGTCTATTTGGGATGCCAAATTTGATTAAAATCGAATCAGCCGTTTCACATTTAAGATTAATTGTAATTATAATTTAAAATTTTGCACCTCAGAAAAAAGAGACTATATCAAGATAAAATTATAGAGAGCATTTACGTATAGATACCTAATATATATAAAAATATTTATTAATATCTTTTTTTGTTTGTATAAGTTAAAGTACAAAAAACTTAACCGACTTTAAAAATAGTCTCACACATAGAAAGGTATATCTATAATCAGCGAGTACTATGGGTTATTATAGGCTGGTAATAACAAAAAAAAAAGATATCTTTCACACCTAATACATATATATAAAAATATTTGTCGATATCGATAAGTGCAAACCACTAGAATCTACTTAAGTTGGTAGCAATGATGTTATTTTTTTAACTGAATTGAAATGGGAAGAGTTCTCGATTCGACTGGATTTTTTTTATGTTATCACGTCATTGACAAATAATTACCAGTACTGTACCGATATAATTTTTCAACTGAATTCGATATCAAACTATTGATTATTTTTCCAATGCGTTATACTTTTGCTTAAAAACCAAATTATTATTTGTTGTTTTTTATTTAAATAAATTATTTAATTCTTTTTTTATTCCCGTGTTAATTTCATACAAATTGTAACAGAATTGAAGTAGATTTATTGTGAAACTAAATCTTAAATTATATAATTTTTATCCATTTTTAAAAGGTATCTCAAGAACAAGGGGATTCGCTGTTACTCTAATCTAGGTATAGGTACAAAACTACGAAGTAGGTATATATTAAACAATATTAGTAAAAAAATCTTTGTTTTTTTTTCATATTGATTTATAGATTTGTTATTTAATTATATCGTTTGACTTATCTGTGTAGGTACGAAATGACCAGCGACACAGTATACGAGGTCTGTCCGGAAAGTTCGTATAAAAGTGTTCTGGAATGCGAGAAAGAGGAGTGGGGAGGCCAGGTAAGCGCAGGACCCCTTCCTTATGTCCCTAACAATGCTTCAGTTCTGGTCTGACCGCCGTGCGGTGCGAACTGGCTTGTCACGCCATCTGTGAAGTTACCTCTTAACGAAACCCCGTCGGCATGGAGCCCGCTTCCGTTGAAGAGCAGCGCGTCGTAATCAAGTTTCTCTCGAAACTCGGCAAGAATGGCCGTGAAATTTTTGCCGATCTCAGAACAGTTTATGGGGATGATGCTGTGAAGGAACCAACCGTCCACAAGTGGCTAAAAAGATTCAGAGAGGGCCGAGACAATGTTGATTGTTTTTTTCGATGTTCGGGGGATTGTCCATCAAGAATTCGTCCCTCCAGGCCAGACAGTTGATGGAAAATTCTACGTCGATGTGCTCAGACGCCTCAAAGCTCGTGTGGCACGAGTTCGTCCAGAATTGGCGCGAGAGGGGCGTTGGATTCTTCACCACGACAATGCCCCTGCCCACACCTCTCTTGTTGTCCGTGAGTTTTTGAGTAAAAATTCCATTACGGTGACCGAACACCCCCCCTATTCGCCGGATTTGGCCCCGTGTGACTTCTTCTTGTTCCCAAAAACCAAATTGGTACTTCGGGGGCGGCATTTGGGGGACATAAATGAGATAAAAAAAGCTACGACGGGGCAGCTGAGAAACCTACAACCAGAGGACTTTCAAGGAGCCTTCTCACAGTGGAAACGGCGTTGGCACAAGTGCATTATGTCACAGGGGGAGTACTTTGAAGGGGATAAAATTGATTTACCTGAATAATTGTAAAATAAAATTTTTAAAAAACTTTTATACGTACTTTCCGGACAAACCTCGTATCGTAGGCATAACTGAAAAATTAAATAATAAAATTGTAATTTGGAAATAAACGTTTGTTCTAATAACCGCAAAATAATTTTAATAAAAGATACTTTTATTAATATTGACAGATTATATAAAGGATTTAAAAAGCGAAAAAAGAATTAATTAATTAAAATTAATTATTTAAATTAACTAACTAATACATAAAATGGGCTAGCGAACCTAAACCATTGTAATACAGCAGAGGGGAATGTTAATTATGGGGACTTTAGTCTCCATTTCTAGCAACATGCCCAGGTTAACCTCCACGCTGTCCTCCTAGATCTAAAACGGTTAATTTCTAGCAAATTCGACACGATATGGGCCAATTAATATTATTTTATGCTTTTCTATCATCTCTCATTGGTAGGCAATTTGCCAGCGTATGGCATTAGCAAATTATTTTTTCCATTTTTAACATATAAAAAAAAAGCTTAATATTTTAAAGTTGTTGTGTCCGCTATGAGTACTTTTCAACCGACTTAAAAAAGAAGAAGGTTCTCAATTCGGTTGTTATATTGTATTGTTTTTTTATTTCTTACCTCATAACTACGTCAGTTCTAAACTGCTTTAGAAAATTCTTTTTTTATCTGAAAGGAAAATTTAGTTACAGTAGAAATTTTATCAAAATCAATTCAGTAGTTTAGTTTTTAGATTTTTTTTTATACAACTTAGAATGGCAAACAAGCTGACGGTCCACCTGATGGAAAGTGATAACCGTCGCCTATAGACATGAGCAGTACCATGGACATAACAGAGTATATTGTTTTGCCCATGATACCCCCTATGTGTTGCCATTCCTGAGGACTCAGGCGTTATTCCTCTGTACCCAGTAAATTCACGCCATATCCCACCCTTCAAACTGGAACACAGCCATGCAAACACAACTGATTCACGGTTGAAACACGAATGGGACAGAGGTACCCAAGCAATTGACTTTTGTACAAAGTCTCCCTCTGGATATGATATGGATCAAAATATATGGATCTTATATCAATATACCTATTACAATCTTTACTCAGTATGTACATGAAATTAAATAAATATATATAATTTGTGCGTTGTAGGACGAGTCTGCGATAGCAGTAATATAAACCAATATATAGCATAATATAAAACAATGTTATAAAGAGGAAAGATTTTTTGTTTCATCATATCAGACATTATCTGTCCACTGCTGAATATAAATATAATAACAAAAATAAAAATAATATAAGCATCCCCCTTTGGAGGGTTTTGCCAGTAGTTGCTACACTTGGCAGGCGGATTGGCAACCGCAGTTAAGCTTTAAAGATGTTTTAATAGGAACTCTACTGCTCATCCTTCGTCCTCCTTTTACGACACCCATGGGAAAAGTCACCTTTTACGACACCCATGGGAAAAGAAGGGGTGGCCTATTCTATGCCGAGGCTATACGATACTTTTTTTTTGGTTAAGGTAAATTAAAACTTATCCGACTTTAAAAATTGTCTCACCTAAAGCTATTATACTAGCGAGTACTATGGGTAATATAGTAGTATGGGTGGGTACACGCAGGTAACAACAAAAAAATAGATTTTTTTTTTACAACACAGGGGGCAAACGAGCATGCGGCTCACCTGATGGTAAGTGACTACCGCCGCCCATGGTCACCCACAACACCTACGGCATTGCAGGTGTGCTGCCGGCCTATATCTTCCCATGCGAAGCCGGGGCGCATAGCTAGTATTATAATCTCTTCGGATGAAGTCTTTGTATATGTATATGTATTATTTAATTTATGATTGAACTTCTTGTACAGGTAAGTTCGTTTAATCATTAATTATTATAGCAAACAATACAACAATTCATGCTTAATTATATACTTATACACAATTAAGATTTTTTATGTAGAATGTATGCATGCAGAAATGTATTGTTGGACGGTATTTTTTATTTTACTAGAATGGATAATTATTTTATTAACTACTAGATTTATTATTATAATTACTAAATGCTCATAACTTCGCATGTGTGGATTCCAGTAAAAAAAATTATACCAGATTTCTACCTACCTTCAGGAACATAATTGTGAAAATTGCGACCGATTTTTTTTTATACAACTTAGAATGGCAAACAAGCTGACAGTCCACCTGATGGAAAGTGATAACCGTTGCCTATAGATGCAGCAGTAGTTTTCGCGTGTTGTCGATTTGCCAGATACAAGCATACAGACATATCTATTTGTCACGCCTGTCTCCCTAATGGGAGAGACAATACTCTAATTATTTCGGCATCTCGTGTTCTTATTAATTCAACTTAACTCATAATTATATGAATATTTCATAAAATTTATTAAGTGACTATTGGCATCTTCTATTTACAATTTTAACTGTAATGTCTAACTTAAAATCTGGTGTATGTTTTATATAGATACGCTATCTAGAAATGGTGAACATTGGGTTTCCTACTTCGGAAATCTAGGCGTACGAAGTAATAACTTTATTTTATTTATTTCCTTATACAAAATTTGCCTGTAGTACAATATAACTATGATCCCACACTAGGCAAAGCCTGTCTCGTGGAAGTCAACGCTAGAATTTTAACAGTTATAGTGCTGCGAACAGGGTTAATTTAAATATGTGACATTGAATGTGAGTTTGGATATGCATAGGTGTTTGATGTGTGTGTGTGTGTGTGTGTGTGTGTGTGTGTGTGTGTGTGTGTGTGTGTGTGTGTGTGTGTATGTGTGTGCGTGCATATGTGCTGAGTGCGTGCGTGCGTGCGTACGTGCGTGCGTGTGTATGTGTGTGTGCGTGTGCGTAAGTTAGTGCGTAAACATTAGGGTATTTCTATATATAAAGGTCGTAAACTTTTAGTTCTGTCCCGGTAAGTAGCGGACATAAAGCTAATTTTAAATGTATATACTAATGTCTGTACATAAGAATGTATTTTTTAAAAATATTAATTTTAATAATAAAATAAAATTTAAAATATATAATTAGAAGATAGATAATGTCAATTCTACAAAATGTGTCTACTCTGTGTTTAATGCCAAACAGTAACTGCGCGGTACAGTCAATTGCAAGTACGGCTAACACAAAAAGGAATATTTATTTTTCGTAAAAAATGTTCTTTGGAGATTGAGATGATGTTTAGATGTTTGTTTCTCAATCAACAATTTTAAACAATGTACCACAAAGGTGGCAAACAAGCACTGTAGCCTACAGATGAATTTATTTGACATGTTAAAAGTGTTGCTTAGCACAGGAGTGTTGGAAAATTGAAACGCATTTTGCAATATTTTATAATATATTTGTTTATTTAAATTATATGACAGAATAATAATAGACGCATTTCATTATAATCTTTAATGTATTTGATATTTTCAATATCACACTGTTTTACCGGTAGTCTAGTTCATTGACTTGAGCACTTTACAAAATTTTGTGCAACAAATTCTTTTTCTTCCGTTTGCTTGGAAATTGCTACAATACTTAAGAAAAATAATATAATTATCGCTTCTTTTTAGCACTTCACCGACAATAATAGAAGTTATTGTTAAGTTACTTTTTAAAATTATTATTGATTTCTTTTCATGTGTGCGAACTGAAATATAACTTTTGTTAGGAACATTTATGTATCTTAAATTAATTTATTTACAATTTCCTCGCAATTTAGAGAAAAGTAACTACTATTTGCTTAAAAATTATGATTGCATCGAACAATTGAGGACCTCGTTTGGTTAAAAAGAATTCGGCCGGTGGCTCGTCTTTTTAAAATCACTTCGTAAGTATTCGGCTCCGTCTCGTCATTTGAATATTGTTGGGATGTAAATTGCTTAATTTTCTGCCGTCATTTATCTATGTGTTTTAAGTACTTATTCTTATTTACATAAACAGCAATTATTATTATTACAATATTGGGGCATTAAATTAATACGCCTAAGAAAAATACATCATAATATATTCATTCATTACCTTACATTTAAAACTAACTCATCATTTCGTATTTTAAAAATACGATTTACTTTCAATTTAAATAGAACACACGTAAGTATAATTTAAATGCAACATTCAATATTTAATAACAATGATCAAAATTAATTTGATCACAATAAGTCAGTCGAATGTTAAAATGCCATTTTTTTAACATTAAATTTCTAAAATAATAACATTAAATAATTATCTATTTAATAAGTAATAATTTATTTAAATATATAGTGAATACGGAAAAATATTAACCCATCTTTTGTCTATGGATGTTTGTTATAAAATTTAATTCGGTATTTTTATAACCAAAAATTATTGGCGGTTTTTGTCATAGACAGCGATGAAATAATAACTAATGTAGTTTTGGTGTAATCATAACAATATTTTTTTTATCCAATGATCACATGACATCAGATCTATATCTTTGGCTTAGTATATGAGATTCATTATCCCTCATCTAAATTAAATAGTAAAATGATGACACAATTAGTTTTTATTTAGATTATTAGATAGATCTAAAAGTTGATTCCACATGTGTGGTAGCGCTCTCTGGTGTCCATAATACAATTTTAAGAATATAATATACGCCTATCAGACATGTTTTAATTTCAATAATGCAAAATTGGCGGGAATTTATTAATGAGTGATGGTCGGCGATAAAGGGCGCTGCGCGACGGCTACGTGCGCGTCGAGTCCGTCGGACGCTCGTGAGTGGCGCCGAGGCCACGGTCCGCTGCGTTCTGCTAAAGTAGAATAAAATAAAATAAATATATATATACCAAAAATATGATGGCGACTTGATTGCAAAAATAATGATCAAAATCTGTTAGAAAATATTGAGGAAAAATATTGGGTAACATAAAAAACACAGTTGAATTAAGCTTCCTTTTTTGAACGACAAAAATTTTTATTACAATTGTCTATGGCTATTGTAAATGTTGAATTACAAGGTTTGCTTTTCTGGAAATTCTGCATTAGGTATATTATCATACGAAATTAAGGATATACTTTCAGATTGATCCTATAGAATGCTCTTAAAGTCGGTTTAAAAGTTACGTATTGAACTTCAAATATGTATTTATGCCACTATTGAAATTGGGTGTTTATTTATGGAAACAATCTTATATTATTTATCAATGTGAGCCCAGAAGAAATAATAACAATATAGATTATAAAAGACTCAAGGAAAAATTTCGAAAGTTAAACACTACTGGTGGTCTACCATAAAATGAAATTCCGAAATGTCGGGCTCAATTTTGTGTTTTTGATCGTATCAAAATCGAGCAGTACCAGACAGGCCGGTAAATAGAGCTTAACATTTCGTTCATCATAAATCCTATTCTAATAGTCCAAAGGAACGATATTTTAACATTTTTACTAATTGTAAACAGCATGTATTATGTAATTTTGACATCAAATATGTTTCGTTCGTTCCTGAAATTTCGGAAAATACTTCATGGTAGGCCCTCTGATCTAATATTATGATCACCTACTTTATGTTTTAAAAAGTTACTGATTTTATTTTATCGTTAGGAGGCAAAAGTATAATAACTGTACAGCTATACTTTTTGTGTTTCTTTCTTTTACGCAAAATTGGCATTTGCTAAGATTACACACGTTTATGATTTAATTTAATAATGCATCTCTACCGATTATTAATAATGATATGCTAATACGTAAGAATTGTTATCATTTATTGTAAACATGAACGCGCATTAGTTGACACGTGTATCCTACGCTAATGCAGGATAAACAATGTCTCATTAGTAACTTATTAAAATAATTATATCTATACTTCACGGAATATATTATAATAAAGGTATAGGTATATATGTAAATTCTCAAAGTACACCAGTCATTGAAATTACGTTAATTTATTCTTGACATAAAATATGTGTGGACTTTTTAAGGAACTGCTTAAAAACAAGTAGATTGGTATTTATTTCTTTATCTCATCAATAAATCGTTGTATCGTAATTACAGAGTAGTATAAGTATAAAAAATAATTTAAAAAAGTTATTTAAGATTTTTTTATATTATATAAAGAATATTACAAATTATGTAGTTTCTTATATATATATATATATATATATATATATATATATATATATATATATATATATATATATATATATATATATATATATATATATATATATATATTATATGTGTGTGTGTGTAATTGTTTGTGTCTATAATAATTTTACTATTGTAATCTTTTGGAGGAAACAATAAAGAGTATCTATCTATATCTATCCTACAAAATTCATTCTTACCTCCACTTTCAGTTTTCTGTGGTATCAATTGTCTGTCGGTGGACAGTCTTCTCCTGCCGTGTTCGTACTTGGCTTCTTTGGCTAGTAAGGCTTCCCTTTGCATCTGAGTGCGCAGCTCGCTTGGTACATCTGGTATAAAGAGCTGCATCAGGCCCGTTAGACCGAAAACCACGTGCTGAAATAAAAAAAATTATGTAATTCGGAATGGAAAACTAACAGTCGCATACATATACATATGAACAGCACTGTGGAAATCACAGAATAAACTGTGACGCCCATAGCACCTAATTGCTACGATGTTATGCCTCCGTACCTTGTAATCACAATGCCATATGCCAACTTTGCAGGTGGATCAACGAGAAAATAGTTCATTATAAAAAAAAAAAAAACTTACCTCAAAAACCACTACGAAGGCCAATCTCGCAGCAAAAACATGCCAGTAGTGTGGAGATAGTCCATACGGGTCCGGATGGTTTGGTGGGTTCCTGTACCCGCGGTAGGCACAGGTCGGGGGGTCGTATTCCTTCTCATCAGCACCCCAGTCGGCTTGATAATCAGATGTGTTGAATACTGGGAAAATAATTAAAATATTATTAACTTACCAAAAAAATCCACAATAAATACTCGGAAAATCGTAATAACACATTTTTCTTTTTAATCGGCTTCAAAATAAGAGGAGGTTATATGTATGTTCAATTGAATATTTTTTCTTTTATGTATGCCCTCTGTCTTTCTCCATCAATTGTGGAATGATTTCAAAGAATCTTTTTTTTAATCAAAAGAGTTTACTTCTGAATCCCATTACCATCAAATCATGATCTGATGATGGAATCCCAAGGAAATCGAGAGCAACCCTCAAATTTTATAGGCATAGTGTTTTATATTTGTGCAAAACTTATTCCTATGTAAATAATGTAGCTGCTAATTCAAACATTTTCATCAAATACTGACGTCATAAATATATTTTGGAACGACGTTTGTCATCAGCTAGTAAACAATAATAAATTAAAGAAATAAAAAATTTGGACACACTTATAATCAAGCTCACTGAGGTGAATCAAGAGATGACAGACGGGAAGGGATTTTTAGTAATGTGGATGTCCATTTACAATCCTAGCCAATATACCCTTTCAGATCGACCTGCCCGTGGTCCCTCCCTGGGAACAACTGTGCCGAATTCTAGGTGTATTCATCATGACGGGCTAACTGACCTGCCTCTTCATTCTCATCTGTCATTCTTCTCTGGTACTCCGCCAGCACATACCGTTAGGGAGATCATTCCATTATTATCCAGTAAAAAAAATCGCATCATAAAAAAGTATTCCAAAATGTGCTTGGACGGAATGGCGATTGAAGACTGATCGCTAATATGGAATGTTGTAGAACTCCTGTTAATAATAATAGTAGCCAGTTTTCGAGTTTTTTCTTTATACAACTTAGAATGGCAAACAAGCTGACGGCCCACCTGATGGAAAGTGGTAACCGTCGCCTATAGACATGAGCAGTACCATGGACATAACAGAGTTTACTGTTTCGCCCATGATACCCCCCATGCGTTGCCATTCCTAAGGATTCAGGTGTTATTCCTCTGTATTCAGTAAATTCACGCGTTGTGCGACTTGACGTGTTGACTGTCGCACGCATACGCATAATGGTAGCGGAATTAAACAAAATAATTGTAATCAACTAATCAAAGTGTTTGTTGTTTGCCTTTATCACGAATTATTTAAACAAAAACACCTTCTTTAAACGATATTAAGAAAGTTGCTTATAAACTTACATGAAAGCGAATGGTCGATGTAGCCAGCTAGGGTGTTGTCTGGGGAGTATACATATTTGTACACCATGCGTGGAATGAAGTCACTTGTATACGCGATTACAAAGGCCTGGAAAGATTTGAATATCAATTTAAAAAACGAATATTTCCGATATGCTAAAGTTCAAAAACTTAAGTAAAAATACAAAACTCTAAAAGAATACGGTATTCGAGTCATTAGTAAACGAATGGTATGCGGGTAGGATACAGTTTTTAGTTTAGTAACAACTATACTTACATTAGACACAACAGCGGCGTAAGTGATTCCTCGTAATATACCATACCTGGAATCAATTTGAATGGTTTTTACTATTTTGTTTTTTTTAAAGAGTACTATTTTGTTTTTTAATTGACAAAGGACTGATGTTGCCCATTATGCCACCAACAAACATGAAATGAGATGGGATATTAAAAAGGAACGGTAAGTATTTTGATATTAGTGATAGTTATAGTATCATATAAATAAAGGAAGTTAAGCAGTTATAAATCAGAGAGTCAGAATGAGTTAATATGCATAAAGTGAATGTAGGAAAAGGAATCTTTTATGCAATTCCAGACTTAATGAGTGGGAAATGATCATTTAAGGAACGGAAAGTTATATTGTTGTTATCGTTTTAAAATTCGTCCAAAATTAGACAGACAAAGAGCACGGCCCATACAGCTTAGTTAAAGTACCGAGCGTCAAAATTCACTGTTAATAAATTTCTGTTCAAATGATCATGAGTTATATTTAAGGGTGGGAGGATGGGATGGGATCAGGACATGGGATGGGAGATGGGGTGGGAGGTGGACAGATATCAATTCGATCAAGGGTCAGGGAATGTTTAAGGGGAATGTGAATGTGAATGTGAAAGGGACTCCATTTTCCGCACTTAGCCTCTCATTTGGGCCATTGTGCGTATGAGTCGTGGCTAGTGCAGCCAACCTAGCTCCGTCCAGAAGCGCAGAAGCTTCCTGGGTTCTTCACAGGCCTCACGGAGCGACTTCACCGTTCCGAGGATTTCTAAACGTTGATGGGCCACAGCCTCACATTCCAGGATTACGTGAGCTGCCGTTTCTTCGGCGTTGAAACAGCCTCGACATAGAGGGCTGTCTGTGGCTCCTATTGTGTATAGATGTTTGTTTAATGGACAATGACCCGTTATTGTCCCTATCATTGTTTTGAGGTTTTTTCTGTCTAGATGTAATAAACGTTTTGATAGTCGTTGATTCAACATAGGTACGGCCAATTTTGATTGTCTGCAATCAGTAGCCTGTATCCATCTTTGGTTTTGTATGTCAGAGGATCTTTGACGAATCCACATTCGAAATTGTGAGAATGGAAGAGGAAGGAGTGGGTACGGGCCTACCACCCTCGTTCCTGAGCCCTTCCTAGCTAGTTCGTCTGCGGCATCGTTACCATAAGATCCACTGTGCCCTCTTATCCATTGGAGGATAACACGGTTATTGGAAGATATCCTATCCAGTGAATGGTGGCATTCAATTATTAGTTTGTTGTTTGTCTTGTTGTTTCTTAATGTTTTTAGTACTGCTGCGCTGTCGGATAAGAATCTAATACTATAACCATTTATTCCTAGCTTATGTACAACTGCAGCAGCCTCGGTTATTGCAACACATTCGCATTGGAAAATGTTTAAGGGGAATATACATACTGTATGAATAGCACTAGATAATACTTGTACTATCATACAAAAATAACATTTATCACGTCTTACCATGCGCCTATGTCTTCAACCCTTTCAGCTAGAGGGCGCCTCGCTTGTGTCACCATCTTGTATGCGTCCAGTCTGATCTCTGCTATATTGTTGAGCAGAGCGAATAGTGGCGCTAGGGGGAACGCCGCCACGAACAGTGTGACGAAACCGTATTGGAGAACTAAGTAACAAATAAAAGAAAAGAATAAATTAATTTATAATAAACTGATGACGTTTTACATTTAAATGAAAGAAAATTTAAGATATATATAAAAAGGACTCTCTGTACAAAAACATATTATAAAATAAATGACTATTTAAATGCATGGATTTGAATATTGTATTAATGTGAATTGTATTATAAATGTAATTATTGTAATTTTTTTTTAATTAATATTATTGTATATAGTAATTATTATAATTACAAATTGACGTATCATAAGAATCTGTAACAGATGTATATGAATAAAGATGATTGATTGATTGATTGATTGATTGATATTGTTTACTCCAAAAGATAACAGCAACTAAAAATACGAGAAAAGATCGCACTGCGTCATGGACATCACAGTATAGTCTGTAATGTTTGTGGTAACCATCACACGTTGCTGTCTTTCAGAATTATGGAGTTATGCCTTCGTATTCTAACTGAAACAAACAAGTAGTACTTCTTGTGGTAACTTCGCTATATGTTACAAGCGTCATTTAAACAGTAGTTTACTGTTCCAATCGGAATACCTGCTACGAGATAGGAACACGAATGGGGCAGAAGTACGCATGCATACCAGTTTTTTACAATATCTCTCTGATGCCGGAAAGTTCAGTCTTATATTTGACAATCAAAAATCCAGAGTACTTAAGCTTTTCTAAAAGTTTTCAGAGATGACTTAATATTTCTATTTTCAATTCAGAAAATTTATATATTTTTTATTGCACTACTTAAAGAATAATACAAAACAATATATATAAATTACACATATGAAGTACAAAAGACGATCTTATTGCTAAAGCAATCTCTTCCAGACAACCTTTGGGTAGAGGAGAAAAGAAAAAGGTCATAGCTATTTGAAACAATAAGTGCCTACATCTAATAAAAAAATATCTACGTACTCATCTCAAGGTATTCATCGAACAGAGCCAGCCGACCAGGATCCTGCAGGTGATAGTCTTGTTCCCACGCCATGTCGGGCTTGGACAGATCCCTGGTGACAGCTCGGTGGGACCGCTGTCTCCACCAATTGTGGAACTTCCTGTAATAGTTATTATTCTTATTAGATTAGACAAAATGTAGAATCTAGAAGGTTTCTGATGAGGCTACCTGGATTTATGTGCCCTGTAAAGCAGGTAACGATCATTTTTAAATGTAACATATCAAACATGAATTAAAAAAATTCTTATGTTTGAACTGATCTTAGAGTCTCCGAACCTTAGTCACGTGACATGCAACTAACTTGTCATTGCTTTTAAATTGGAATAAAATTCTATACCGGGAGAGACCATATCCTAAATTAACATACAAGAACATACAGAATACTTTTATCTATAGCAGAAAAAAACCAAAATCGATAGACAATTGTCAAAGATATAAGGGTAACAAATATTTATTTATTTATAGCAAGGCCTGTTGCCTTGCCATTACAAATTAATACATTTATAAATATACAAAAAGCACTATCGAATTCAAAACTTCAAACTTTTTTTGTAGTCATTTAAAAGTCGCCTTTTAACAATCGGGACTTTATTGATTAATAGTACGAGCATTGGTCCAAATCGCAAAACAATTCTGTGTCAGAAATTAAAACAAGTAAGTTTCCAATTTATCTTTCTGTGATAATGAAAACAACAAATATAATGTGATCTGTTGACATGGGAATAGATCTCTTTTCTTACTGATACATTAGATCTTAGCCGTGTAGATCTTGGCATAGATTATGCCACTTCCTTCTCGTAAGTGTCGTAAGAGGCGACTAAGGGAATGGTCGACGGATGGGCAGTAGCGTCCCTCTTAAAGCATCACCAAAAGCCAAACTGTGGTTGCCAACCTACCTGCCAATCATGGCAACTACTGGCAAAACCCCGCTTCTTATGGAAAAGGCTATGTTCAACAGTGGACTGTTGAAGGCTGATACAAGAATTTAATAACATTAGACCTTAATTTAGTTGCAGATATTTGGAAAAAATAAATGATCTGTCATAACATACAATAGTAACAAATAGACGCCTTTGACATTATGAATTAAGGTTTCGAGAAAATTTTTTGTTATAAATAAAGACGGCACAAGACAACCACGACACACGTACGTACGGGTATCCCAGCTCGAGGAAGTTATTGAAGCACTGCTTGCCAATCATGATGATAGCTAATTGTATGCACAACTCGGATAGACAACCGGCAGGGTCGCAGATGTCGCCTTTCAGCTTGAAGAACTCTGATTTTCTCGCTTGATCGTCGCCTGGATAATCGTAGAATCGACCCTGGTGATACAATAATAATGAATGAATGAATGAATGAATGAGTATACTTTATTTGCATTAAACAATATAGGAGATAGGCAAGACAATTAACGAATATAACGATACAATAGTATGTTTAGGAAAGTTTTTTTTTATACAACTATGGCGGCAAACAAGCATATGGCCCATATGATAGCAAACGGAGTTACCGTAGCCTATAAACGCCTGTAACACCAGAGTCACAACTCTATTAATATAATAGAGTTGCAAGTAAATAACCATTTGCCATCGTGTGGGCCGTATGCTTGATTGCCACCTCAGTGGTATAAAAAAGCGATTATTTTATTACACTATATTCTGTTTTAAAACTATATTATTTTTCTTGACTGTACAAACTGTACCTAATATAAATAGCGCGCAAATGCTGCCCCAACATTGGTATTTTTTGCTTATAAGTTAGAAAAACATAACAGATGTGTGGTATTGTGACTATCCAAATGATCGTGAGAACCTTCTATTGGAAAATTATAATTTTTAGGCGCGAAAATCCATCAGTGAACAGATAATACTAGAAGATGATAATTCAGGAACAACATAGCACGTTTCCATTTTGTATCATTTTTCCAAATATTTCTGCAGGTGATTTATGTGAAATGTCTATGTAAATACTTTACCTATTTGTCATGAATATAAATAAGACCGTACGAGCATTTCAATCAGAAGAATTAGGGAAATATTTGACACAAGAAGCAAATTACCAACTTTATGTCACAGGAGATTAAATTAATTTTATTTAAGTTTAAACGGCTACATTGGTAAAGTTAACATAGCTATGTAGAATTATTCTTGGCAACTGTTTAATTGCTTATTGTTTAATATAATATTTGTTATATTATTTTTATACCAATGAAATGGCAGAAAAGCATCCGGCTTTCCTGATGGTAAGCGGTTACTGTAGCCTATGAAAGCCTGCAATATCAGGGCATTACGCGCACTTTGCCGACCCTGAAGAAACCTCTTTATCACTTTTTGAAGAACCCCATGCTGTAGTCTCTTGGAAAACCTTCGATATCCCTATCGAAGGTTTTCCAAGAGACTATATATATATATATCCGAATCGTTCATTCTGTAATGTGAACATTCGTGGGACAAAACATCTTTGAAATCTCGCTGTATGCGACCATCTAGGCTCTAAGATATGGAGGTAAACTCTCTTTTGTTAAATTAATTGATAAATATAAATAATAACTTGAAATTATGCAAATAGTAATTAAAACATATTGAATATGGGGGTATTATAATAGGTATTCAATTACTAATGCCTCCACATGCATTGACGCAACGCTGTCTCTTCCTCTTAATAACTAAGATAGTGAAAGTATATATTTCTGTAAGGTACGATCAGAAAAACTTTTTGTTGCGAGTTATTTAAATAAATACCTTGAAAAACGCAATGTAGATGAGCGAAGAATAAAAGTTCATGAATTCAAAGAAGAATATTTTGAATGTGTATGAGTCCTCGTATTCAGTCTGCGTTCGTGGGTTCTCCATATTCGTGAGGTATACTGCCACTTTTGCGTATATCTGAAAAAGATTTTTATTGAGATACTCACGCTAAATTGAACCGGATAACTATTATTGTAATAGCAAATTAAAAGTCTCTTTAGTTAGTTGAATAGAATTATTTTGTTTAACTCCGCTATCAACATTGAGGGTGGATTACTAAGTATTAATATTAGTAGATGACTTACGATCTTTCTTAAAACATTGAATAGTAGTCAATTCCCAAATATTAGCATTAGCATGCATACTATTGGTAGCGGAATTAAACCAAATAATTCTGATTAACTAACCAGTGACATGGATTTCCGCAAAATAACGCCTAATTCAGTAAAATAATAGTCCTTTCTTACGGTTGGATTCATTCCAATAGTGAAACGTTGGGTTGTTATAATACGGTATGGTATGGTATTATAAGGAACATTTGTTTTTCTATGGCTCTTGACCATCATATATTTTAGTGATAACCATAGTCTTATTATCTTCTTCGGCCTATTTTGTATTTAATTTATTTCCGCTATATTTAATTTAAATTTTCCTATTTTTTTAATCCATTTGCCATATATTACCATAATTCTATAAGTAACAAATAAAAATATTCACCGAGATTTCTCAAGGCGGTATTATAGGCCATAGAAATTAATTTTGGATAAGTATTGGGATTACGCAAGAGAACAGAAAACAATGGGTTCTATACAAAAAAAGCAACACTGATTTTTTATAATACAAAAATAAATAAAAAATCTTACCCTGGTGAGTATCATGATAATGGTCAAGTTAATCAGCGCAGCAGTCATGGCAGTGAAGATCTTGGCGTGTCTTTTCAGAAAGAATCCGGTCCCACCATAGATCACTGACACCATGGATATACGATAAATTATGGTGCCAAGTACTGCGCCCATTACTATGGTAATCTATAAATTAAAAAAAAAAAGAAATAAGAAAAAATAAAACATTACCAGGAAAACATATGATTTAGCAACTTGATGAAACACTAGCTGCGTTTACAATATTGGTTCAAGTGGTAGTAAAACAAAATAAAGAAGTCCCAGTATTCAAAAAGCTACTTAGGACAAGAAATTTTGACGACGATATGAGAAAACCTGAACCCAACTAGATAAATATCAAATAAAAGTAGAAAAAATGTATTAATTTCATAATATTTGTGTGCTATGCTAATATCGCAATAGATAATAATTTTAGCGAGATCTGGTGGGTTACTTTTAAAATAAATTCCATTAAATCGATATTTAAAAATAAGAAATTTCGCACAAGATTTCAAGATGATTTCGCATATTGTTCTGATAGATGCATAACTTGTCAAAAAAAAAATTCTGACTGTTGTTATATGAGTGCTGTATAAAATTATTATTGGCAATATTTTGGATTGGATTGATATTGATATTAGATTCAAAAGTAAACCTGCTGGTCTGAATAATACAAGATGGACAAACATACCATAAACAATACAGCTGAGCTGGTCGCTACACATCTCATTGTCTTTTGCCAAGTTGGTAAGAATGGCTCCTTTTCTCTGGTCACTGGATTTGTCCTGAAGGTTTTCACTGACGTTTCAAACTCGGGACGAGGTTCTTCATCCTAATTAATAAAAACTATTTAATTTTTACTTCAAGATAAACATATATAGTAAGTACGTATGTCTGAATGAAATTTGAGTATTATAATGTCAGTGAGCCAATCTGATAGTAGAACTTTGAGATAACAAAATCAGAATGTGCTCGAACGAAAAATCATGCAATAGCTTATGAGCTCATTATACAAGTAGAGTATTACCTGATCGACACCGCCCAAATCCCACTCCCACCTTAGTATTGATTGCTTCCTTTTCCATAACTCCAAGAATGTAGTGGCTGGGAACACAGATAAGCAATTTAAATGGCTCGTTTGTACAGGTATCAGACCAATACGGTAATATACATTTTTCATATTAACTATGTTATCAGAGTACATACCCCAGAAGGACATGAAGATAGCGAAAAAGACGGTAGCTGGGTTGTCGAAGAGATACGTCAGCTTGGCAAATAGGCAGGAGTCAGATAAACTCTGATACTGGCAGGCTTTGTCACACAGTGGGCAGAGCGTCGTGTTACCTGGACCTTTTAGGTCGCAGATTTCTTGGCTAGAGAGAATAATTTATAAATTCAAGACAATTATATGATTAGGTTAACAATTAACTGTTACTGAAAGGTGTTTGACTGAATATCGAAGTATTTACTATGTATTTATAAATATTAATATAATTGATCTTGGCAAAGCTGGAGAAATAATAAGCATAGCCAATCATCGTAGTAATATTTGATTAACCTGGGTATATTATCTTCCGATTCCATACTCGCTAGGCCATATAGGAAACACAATGTTCCAACAATAGCTGGGGCGTAAAGCATTTTGGTGTAGAAGCCAAGCCAGCAGAAATACAGTCCAATCTTGTCCCCAAAGTATCGCCTTACTAGCCAAAGCGGCTGTTTCTTGTACCATTTTGAGGGACGAGCCCATTCTAAGTATAGAAGCTGGGAACAAATTATAAAAGACATTTTATTGTATACTTTTTTGTTTGTAGTTTGAGATATATTTATCATCTTTGTAATTTCGTTATAACCTGATGATTTAATATTAAATTTATAAAACTTCCAAAAACGTATGGTCTAATTTGGTCGATTCCAAAAACATTGCGCCTCTATCTATCTTATGGTGATGGTTACAAAAACTGATCATAAAGGTAGTAGTAAGTAGCAAATATAAAATTTCTATCAGGTTGTTAGTCATAGTTTTATGTCGAAATATTTTAGTGCATTTAATTTCATCGATCTACTACAAAAATGAGATTCTCAACTGACTGTATTTTTTTTTTGTGTCATGTAATATTTCCGCAAACACTAAATCGATTTAGATGAAAATCATTTGCAATTGCAATCAACAGGAATTCCCGTATTAATATCATATATATTAGGATGCCCCTTGTTTGCTGGGTCAGCTAATATACTCAGATCAGTGATCAGGTCTGGACCAATTTTTTTAACAGTATAAAACAAATAAAACAATGCTATCTCTCAAGTTGAAGTACATATTTACAATATTTCATTAAAATCGATTGAGCGGTTTTAGATATTAGTATGAATCCACGAACATCGTGATACTGATTTTTTTTATATATTAATGATTTTTTTTTATATACTAGTAACTTACTCTTCTATCAGTAGCGGTTCCGTCTGACAAATCGACGTCATATCTGCCCTCGTGGAGTGGGAAACAGGCCGTATACGTGCCGTCGTTGAGCAAGCGACGGATACCCATCTAATAAATAAAATAAACTCGAAATTATGAATATCATTTTAAGGGGATATTCTTTAAATCAAGCGGTATCGAACCCTTAGGTCTTAGGAGAGATTTTGCCCCGCTCTGCGTGTTCTACCGCTTGTACAACGGACTGTGCTCAAAGAAATTGTTCAATATGACTTTCTATTGTCGAACAGCTCGCCATTGACAGGAAGTTTATTCCCATACCTTAGAGCCTAGATGGTCGCGTACAACGTGGTTTCAGAAATATTTTCTTCCACGAACACTCAGGTAATAGAATGAGCTCCCTGTCGAGGTTTATCCAAGAAACTACAGCAAGTTTTTCAAGAAAGGAGTAAAAAGGTTTCTTCGGGGTCGGCAACGCGCGTAAGAAACAGTGAAAGAAACATGGGTGTAAAACATAAATAAGTTTGAGCCTCCGATATTAATTTGACAACTGGATGTTTATATTTAGTACTAGCGTCCCGTCCCGACTTCGCAGGGGTAGACATTTTTACAACATTTTAAAAAGTCGTTATTGTGACATAACGATAATAGTTGGGCATATAGTATCTTGAAGTTTTTTATAGTTATTGATATTCTCTTCAATATTGTAGAACATACTTATGTTCTATCACCGATAGATTCCGCAACGCACGCGACGAAACATATTTTATGGCATGTTTTTTACACCTTGAGTTACGTTACTAGAGTTTTAGTAAGGATCCCTAATCTTTTTTAGCAATAAATATAGCCTATGTTACTCAGGGTGAATGTATCTTTGTAATGGTGAAAGAATTTTTGAAATCGGCAATGTAGTTCTTGAGTTTATTCATTACAAACACACAAAAATACAAATCTTTAGTGTAGATGAAAGGTATATTTTGTTATATATATACCTCGAAGATCGTAAACAGGCATACTGACCGTTTGTTGGTAATCGGTCACTGTAGCCTATGGACGCTTACAACACTATGGGTGTCACGTGCGCGTTGCCGATCCTGAAGAAACCTTTATATACCCTTTTTGAATTAGTGAATTAGAGATTTTTATATTAGTGAAATCTGAGCTTAGTACTAATTAACATTCTTTTAAAAAATTACAGAACATAATGAAAAACTCTCGTCTTATTCACAATTGAGCAGGAGGAAAAAAAGGACAATGTTAAACTCCTGTACATATATTACTATCTTCAGCCTAAGTCCCTTAAGAGATAGGTAGTGAGTACCAAGCATCAAAGGCCTCAATCTGTCAGTCGATATACATTTCTTGCTAAATTTATAAAAGATATTACCAGTAATAGTAATATAGTAATAATAATGTAATAATTACTCATATATTATTCAAGATTCAATAAATCAAACATAAGACTGAAAAAACCGAGTAGAAACTCATATACTTTGTAGTTAATGTAATACAGTGAACCAATATTTTTTATCAGCTTGATATTGTGATATTTTCATACAGTTATCTACATTATTATGTTATTTTGATTTTCATCTCATAATAAAACTTGTAGGTATAGTATAACCCTTTATAATATAAATAGGAAAGTGAGTTTGTTTGTTACTTTACAGCGCAATGACGGCTTAACTTTTACTATGAAATTTGATACACTTGTACTGTATAGGATGAAGAAGAATATAGGTTACTTCTTATCCCGGTCACGGAGACGAATCCACGGATAAAAGCTAGTGTAAAGAGTAAAGAGTAAATTTTAGGAATGAATATCTGTTACCTTAGTATCAGTATTGTCATATTTGGCCCTTAATAATATTTGCATAACTAATAGGCTTCGTTGAGCTGGCGAGAATTGTGTATGGCGATCTTTGACTAGAAACCTAGAAAAAAAAAAAAAATTTGTGATGCACTTGCATATTTATTATTCCGTATATTGTGTGCACAAAATTCTCACACTAATAACCATTCAACTGTATGTTACGAATCTTTAGCTCATAAAAATTGAATTAGCTAAAATCTAATATTTATATTATATTAAATGAATCTTGGAGCTTATTTTTCAGACAGCTGATTACTAGAAACTGGTATGTGATATTTTCTTAATACAGGCAATGTTTATGTATGTATGTATTTCTGGTAATTTGATTATTTTGTTTAATTCCACTACCATAAACAAAATAACTCTCATCAAATAACTAGTGACATGGACTTCCTCAAAATAACGCCTACTTCAGTAAAAGATATTTTATTTCGTATTTTTTTTTCTAAATTAATATATTTCCTTTGTAATCTTTCTGGAAATTTAAATTCCAGGCTTTATTTTTTAGTTAAACTTACTGTTCTTCTCTTCTAATTCCTTTCTGCTCTGTGGCATCATAAAATGAGGGTTCAGGTTCGATTCTACTGTGTTCATATTCATACAGCTGTTTCCATCGTCGTCGCCATTTTGAATACCATTTCTTGTCTTTTTCGCCTTGTTTTTCGTCACTCTATTGAGAGAATTAAGAGAGAATATAAATAAAAAATAGATAATACAATAATAACTGAAATTATTGTAACAATTTAATAGGATTATACTCTTGACCATATTTATCTTATAAAATTTTTGAACCTCAACGACACTTACTAAGGGTGGGTAATATATAATATATATATATATATATATATATATATATATATATATATATATATATATATATATATATATATATATATATATATATATATACTGGTCCAATGATGAATATATTAGACTTATGCAAAAAAATTATACGGGATTTTTTTTATAAAACTTAGAATGGCAAACGAGCTGACGGCTCACCTGATGGAAAGTGATGACCGTCGCCTATAGACATGAGCAGTACCATGGACATAACTGAGTATACTGTTTTGCCCATGATACCTCCCATGCGTTGCCATTCCTGAGGACTCAGGTGTTATTCTTCTGTACCCAGTAAATTCACGCCATATCCCACCCTTCAAACCGAAACACAGCTATGTAAACACAACTGCTTCACGGTTGAAACACGAATGGGACAGAGGACCAACCATAATGGGCGATATCGAAACGGATAAGGTTCTTTTTTCCGCCATCAATGTCCAGAGAAACCCAATATATAGATATCGAATCGGTATCCATATTACCCATGCCCAATACTTACCCATGCTCTGACTGATATTGAGATAAAGCGTTTTGTCGGTAACTTCATTCCTATCACCTCTGCTAATCTCATTTCACATTTCCATGGTATATGCACCTTCAGGAACCATGTTTTTTCGTCAAATGATAGACATTTATTTTCTAATTCTAATTCCAAACCTTCTTTTATGAGATTCTCCTAAAAATATATACATATATTAATATGAGGACACAAAATTATACCCCACAGAGTATATCATAGAATAAAAAAGTTCAACTAAGATTTCATATTACTTTACTACTTATAATAGTAGTTAATTAATATTAGTAATTATTTTTTTAATTAAAGACCTAAAAACATAGGAGAGTTAAAAAGTTTTTAATGCCTATAATGTCAGTTGCTTTAATAAGTCCTCACATTCTGATTATGTATTATTAGCAACAATTACGTACTAGGTGCTTGAAATAATATGTAATTATAATTTAATTTTTAATTCTAACATGATTTTATGGTTTATTTAATTTGTAATAATTTACATAGTAGAGGGAAAAATAGAGGGCAAAAGAGGAAGAGGAAGACCGAGGAATAACTATATGGGACAGATAAAAGAAACACTAGGTGTCATGTCGTATAGGGAGGTCAAGGATATGGCCTGGGATAGAACTGGCTGGAAGAAGATGTATGAATTAGTTGCACCGACAAGAGGAAACTCTTAAATGAAAAGAAGAATAATTTACATTATATATGTTTCGATTTGCCACTTCGACTGATAATTTAACTTGTGTTAGTAGATATTTCCGATTGCATATGTCATTACCTGGAATGTCTTTCTATGCTCCCTTCTTTTGGCTTCAGCTTCAGTCATGACTCCATAGTCTTCTTCCTCGTACGCCAACACCATATCTATTCTACGACGACCGTCTCGGAATAACAGAGATTCGGGATCAAGTCCCTACAATTACATTATGAATTGAGGATTTTTAAATTTTTAATATGAACAGTTAGGATGGCTTAATTTTTTTTATTCAAACCTAACATTTACGAAATTTCCAACAGAATACATTCTCAATTTGCATGTAATTTTTTGGTGTTAGATACGCTATAAGATATATCTATATTAGAATCAAAACTGATTTTAATGAATACAGAATTTACATTTACAATGATCCCATATGGGTTCTATCGTGATTGAATTAGCAATTTTTTTTTGAGGAACAAAATGTTTAAACTTCCATCATCATATCTTTCATCATCTGCTAAACATAAGCTTTCCTCTTGGGGGGTTTTGTCAGCAGTTACCACACTTGGCAGGTGGACTGGCAACCGCAGTCAGGCTTTGGAGATGTTTTAAGAAAGACGCTGCTGCCCACCTCTCGCTCTTCCTTACTCGCCTCTTACGACACCCACGTGAGAGTAAGGGGTGGCCTATTCTATGCCGAGACCACACGTCGTATGCTGTTTACACTTTTATGGTGGTACCTATTAACTTAACTTTAACTTGTGCATTAATTACCTCTGGACTAGTTTCACCGACATTCTCTTCTTTCTCATTTGGATAATTAGGCAGTGATGGTTTCCTGTCGTCTTTATTTGTATAATCTGACTTCTTACTCTCTGATTGTGGCTGTAAATCATAATATTCATTTAACGATCTAGATATTTCTTTTTCTGAGTCTACTAAAATCCAAACCTAATATCAAACGGTGCTTTTGCCGTGCCAAATACTGAGATCTCGAGATCATATCAATATTTGTAAATGCTACCAAAAAGAAACGCAAATCTAGCTATACTCTGATCTAAATATTATATGAAGTAGAATATGAAAAACCATTAGTTTTATGATCAAGCAAAATTAATTAGTTTACTTACAAAAAAATGCTGTAAATAAGCGACATAGTCGCTTTTCTGCGGATTTCTGTTTGGACAATGACGATTAAATCCCAAGCGGATTTTTGTTTTACTGTTTTTATGTTAGTAGTATGTATTTGATATTCATACTCGAAATAAGTGGAAAAAAATCTTTTATACATCTTTTTACCATTTATTCTGTACCAATAATGCAACAACATTAATTAAAATCAACAGTTTCAGAACCTGGAAATCTGGCAGAGGCGTGCCAGGTAGTGCTGGAGCAGTTGAGGTCTCCTTGGACTTGGGGGAGAAGGCCCCAGCAACGTATGTTACGTTTCTGACAAACCTCCATCCCATACGAGCCTTGTGTTCCTCTGAACTATCTGAATGTACCGATTTAATGTCTTCTCTCAGATGCACCTAAATGAAGTTTGGAATTCAACGACATAAATTATGATTAAATTGATAAAATTAAGATATTTTTTTAAAACTTGTTAGCAGAGATGTATAGACTCGATATAAATATCTTAAAAAAAAAAGTTAAAAATCACTCGAAAGTCAATCCCATTTGTTTCAGTTTTTACTAGAGCAAAGGTAGTTTTCATTGCAGAGAAAAACATTTTATTACAGTGGCATCTTACTCGTTTGTTATATTACGCCTACAGAGTTCCAGCAATTTTTAAAAGTAACATTACAATTTGAAAGTATTTTCATGAAATCAAGAATTTTCTTGTAATAAGTAATATATCGTATCGGGTGGGAAGGGTTTGTTAGTAATGCGGACTATCAATTCCTTTGCTAGCAATATACCCTATCACATCAATCTCCACGTGGTTCCCCCTGGAAACTATCGTGCCGAATTCCAAATGTATTCATTATGATGGGCTAACTGACCTACCTTTTTATTCTCACCTATCATCTGTCACTGGTGCCCCGCCAGCGTATACCATTAGCGCAGGCGGAGTTACCGCTCCATTGTCATCCATTAAAAATAAAATATCGTATCTTGTTGCCTATGAATTAATATTAAACCTGTTCGTTTCATTGCTTTGTCTTTTTGTTAACTTCATATAGGTATTTATTGCACAGAGTATGTGTAGCACTATGTGCGTTTCACAAATACTAGTTATTTTATACATATTTGTGCAATGTGTTCAGAAGAAATCCTCTAACATGCAGTGTACTGAATTAGTTATGAAAGTCGAATTTGTTTGCAATATATTTAAATATTTTTTTAAAATAATATTTAACTATAAAGATACTAGTATAATTTACTATAAATATAATTTTATTTACTAATTTCATATCTATTTGCGTAGTTACTAAGTAATTTCACTGCAGAAATCATTAGATATTGTCAAAAATAGCTCTATAAGCATCTAAAACACTCCATGCCATTGTTTTGACAAGAACAAGGTACATATTTCTTATAAATATTTATATTTGTTCTTTTTTTTATCTAAAATTTGATATTTATTGCTATGAGTTCAAATATGACCATCAAATGACAGCAAATCAAAAAATAAATCAGTATTTTAATTTATCTTTAGTAACAAAACACAATTATCTAAGCTTAATAGAATGTTCTTACAGTCTATCAAAAAATGATAAGACATTCAATAAAACGGTTTTTTTAAATATATGTATATCATGTAATAATATATGTTTTAAATTAAGCTATGAACGTAAAGAATTTTTATAAATTAAGTTAAATAAATAATTATAAATGAATAATTCATTTGATAATAATAAACCTAAAGATTAATGTGTTGAATAAATATAAATAATATACTAATTTTCTTTTTATGTTTTGCTGTCTGTTCATTTAAAGTTATTTAATGTTTCTAATAAATTCATTGACATATTTGCTAACACAAAACCACTCGAAACATTGAGATCTAATACACAGATAACTATAGAAATTAGTACCTTTTTCTCACCCGTATCTCTTATAGGAACACTCTGAAAACATTAGCGTCGAATTTTTTCATATTGTCCAAAATTATGAGAAAGAGTTTAATTCAGCTGTGTTTGAATCCACTATTTAACCTATAAGTACATATATCTGGTACTTCTGCCTGCCTGCCTTTTCCATGGTAAAATAAAGTAGGATGAAGAAAAAAGTACATGTAATGTCGTGTTTCGGTTTGAAGAATAAGAAGGGTAAGATATCTATACCACAGTTATTTTCAAAAGTAGCAACCTTGCTGTTGTTGTCATTGTTTCAAAAGTCGTCCAAAATTGGACAGGCAAAGAGCGTAGTTCATACAGCCCAGTCATAGTGGCAACATTGCTTTAACACCATTGAACGACATATAATCAACGATGTTATTTATAAGATGTCTATGTATCTACATTGTATACTGTTATATCTATGGTACTGTTCATGTCTATAGGCGACGGTTCCACCAGGTGGGCCGTCAAATTGTTTGCCGTTCTAAGTTACTTAAAAAAAGAAGATAATTTCTGAATTTATTTTTAAGTAATAAAACAATAGAAGCAAAAAAAATTAACTTAATCATTTATGATGAAAAAATTAAGACGACAATAAAAATTTCTACGTAGACTCTGATTTTTTTTATATATATATATATATATATTTTTATATATATATATATATATATATATATATATATATATATATATATATATATATATACATATACGAACCTTGTTGGCTGGGCTTTCCATGATATCAGCTAAGGATGTACCGAAGGCCGCGTCTGGGGTGAGACTATCAGCTGACTTCCACAGTGCTCGAGGATGTAATGGTGTTCCTGGCAATGCAGACTCGTGACTTCTGCGACGTATTTTAGTCTGATAGTAAAAAAATGACATTTATCCTTTATTATTTATTAATTTGGAATAATATTTGATACTATTTATTCGTCCTAATGAAAAAAAGTATTTAATAATTGGATTTTTTTTCTATTTAAGAGCTTAAAAGCAGGAACGAAGTAGACTATCATATGCAAGGACTTAATTTTCCAGGTTGTCTGTAAGAGATTGTTTTTAAAGATAAAGTTTTTTGTAAATGCACTTTATGTATTGGTACATATTGTACCAATATTCTATGTATGCATCTAAAATAACTATTACGACTAGGTAATTCAAAATAAGCAGTAGTTAATTTTATTTATTTATATAATTTTATTTACCAGAGGAAGACATTGTCCAAAAGTCGTTTGCTTAAACACCTCTGTTTCATTCGTGTTTCTACCGTGAAGCAGTTATGTTTGCATGGCTGTGTTTCGGTTTGAATGGTGGGATACGGAGTGAATTTACAGGGTACAGAGGAATAACACCTGAGTCTTCAAGAATAGCAAACGCATGAGGCGAAACAGTATACTCTGTTATGTCCATGGTACTGCTGATGTGTATAGGCGATCACATATCGTACTTATAATAAAAAAAAATATATATATATATATATATATATATATATATATATATATATATATATATATATATATATATATATATATTACATTATACAATTGTTCACCTGTTCGTCAGTAGTGCTATCAGATAAACTAAGTTCAGTTCTGGTGGTTGACGTTGAGCTGCTCAATTCATTCCACATGTTGTGGTTGGTCACATTCGCTGTAGGCGGCTCCGAGCACGTTCCATCTGTTATAACATTACATGTTACGGGATTCACATTATTATAGATACCCAAATCAAAATCAATTTATCAAAGGAATATATATGATATTATAGTCAAGAAATGTTCACGTCGCGTCAAGATTCTCCGATCAGCATGAGTCCAAATATGAAAAAAAATTGTGAACCTTTCAAAGTAAATCGATCATGTGCTCGCGTGGTTTTTATAGAAACGAAAAAGAAATACTTATTACCTTTTCTAAATTCTTCTTTTCTTGCTCTTCCGCCGTCATCGCTGTTCCTTCTAGAAGACGCCTCGCTGTGGCTTGATTTTAACCTTTCACTTTCAAAAGTAACTCTGTCCAATACACTCTGATGTGTCTCCAATTCTTGTGCACCTATTTGCCCAATCTTCTCCAAACCTGGAGGGAGCTTGTCCAATATTCTAGGAGCACGTTGGTTGAGCCGTGCGACCACTTTTTTAACTGTGATTTCTTCTGTGTAACCATTTTCCATTGTTTATACTGAAAATAGAAAACATTAAACTTAAAATTTGGGTCCTTTAGTCTTCTGTGTCTTAAAATGTAAAACGGAACTCTTGTAAAAGTAAGTATAACTAGAATATACATATATCTAATTATATAGCGTAAATGAACAATAAAAAAGAAAGTTTGAAAATTCATTTTACCAGAGGGAGACTTTGTACAAAAGTCGATTGCTTGGGTACCTCTGTCCCATTCGTGTTTCTACCGTGAAGCAGTTGTGTTTGCATGGCTGTGTTTCGGTTTGAAGGGTGGGATATGGCGTGAATTTACAGAGTACAGAGGAATAACACCTGAGTCTTCAGGAATGGCAACGCATGGGGGGTGTCATGGACGAAACAGTATACTCTGTTATGTCCATGGTACTGCTCATGTCTATAGGCGACGGTTATCACTTTCCATCAGGTGGGCCGTCACAGCTTGTTTGCCATTCCAAGTTGTATAAAAAAAAATTCAATCCCCAAGAAAGTGAAACTTCAAAAAATCCACGCATACGAAATCGCGAATATTGTAGTATATTTGAGAATGGTGTATTTTTTACGTAACTGAAAATGACGAATTGGCTTACGGCCTACCTGATGGAACCACGATGTAACCATTGCCTGTCGCTGATACTCATTGTACCCCTCATGCGTTATTATTCTTAAAAACTAAAGGGTTATATTCCTTTTTTATTTACTGTATCGATATTTTTTATTATAGTCTTCTTAAAATTAAATACTAACCGAATACAAAAAAGCCATTGTGATTGTTTAAAAAAATAATTAAATATCGAACGCTGAAAATAGTGAAATGACCTACATATCAAGGTAGTAGTAGTAGAAATATAACCTAGCAGCTGGCACTGAAGTGACATTTGGTCGAACTCCAATCGATTTAAAATAATTAAGTGCACAACTGCAAAAGGTTTGTTTTTCGCGCGCATTTGTATAAATCTGTGTATAAAATAGAATGGCTATTCTATACTGCTTTTTTGTAACATTCAAATAGCGTGTAAATATAAATAAATATGCTCATGACTACAATCTAACGGGGTAGAGAAAGGCGTTCATAGAATGTTGCCGTTAATAGATGAACGTTAATTAATTGATGAAATAAATAGCGTCAGAAGTATCTACTTTTTTGTCTCTTATTTTTTTTGTAATTAATTAATACAAGTCACTATGTTACTTGCAAGGAGTAATACTACCTGTGGTAAGAGTTACAACTGTCCTAGCGTTTGCCTAGTATCGGCCATGTTGTTAAATAGTTATACCATATTATCACCATATTGCATACCATACAAGAGCGTAAAGCTGCAGACAAACTGCAATGCAGTTTCGCGGCACTAAGAATATATATTGTCTATGTAGTTGTTTACTTGAAATAAATAAATAAATAAAACTATCTGCAACTGAACAATAGGCCTTCTTCATGGATTTTATGTGCCACGTTTTACAAGGGGAATATCGACCACAATTATGAAGGGTAAGGAATATCGATCAATTCCTTTAGTCGACTCTTACGACACCCACGAGAAAGGAAGGTGTGATCCATTATAAACCACACCAACTACAATAGTTATAGTTGCTACTTTGTAAAAGGTATTTTTTTTTATAATTGAGCTGTTGTTAATAAAACTTTTTATTTTTAAAGGGTTAAAATCTTAGAACATATCTGTGATTAAAATGAAACCTGCTATTATGTCTATATTTTTTCTGGACCACATCCCTACAAAACATGTCTAGAGAAATTTAACATAATTTTTTTATGTTTATTATGAGATAATATTTTTTTTTTTTAATTATATATTTATAATGTCAACTTTCCAAATAATCTTATATTTTTTTTATACAACTTAGAATGGCAAACAAGCTGACGGCCCACCTGATGGAAAGTGGTAACCGTCGCCTATAGACATGAGCAGTACCATGGACATAACTGAGTATACTGTTTCGCCCATGATACCCCCCCATGCGTTGCCATTCCTGAGGACTCAGGTGTTATTTCTCTATACCCAGTAAATTCACGCCATATCCTACTCTTCAAACCAACTTCACCATGCAAACACAACTGCTTCACGGTTGAAACACGAATGGGATAGAGGTACCCAATATATTATAAATATTCTCCCAACGCAACGCATCGAAGCAGCGTATCCAAGATACGGGCAACATTACCTTTTTGGATCGCCCAACTTATTTTCTGCACAAAGTAGCTACCAGTTCTCGGGTCACCAGTAACCTCGATGAGTCCGATAAAAATTTTATTTGAATGCTTGTTTTGTCATATACTCTAATATATTTAAGACATTGATATATGGTATACCGATTACATTAAAAAATATAAGCGCGCGTGTAGATTCTCTTACGTTAAGAGCATTCATACTTTAGCCGAAGAGTGCCAACGCCATTGTTTACCATCTAATCAATTATCAAAAACAATTGATATTTTTTAACTACGTCTTTTCTCAACTGATTTGAAAAATTCTTTTTTTATATGAAAGGACATAGTTTCAAATTGGTCTCATAGAAATTATATCAATACCGGCTCAGTAGTTCAGTTTTTAAATCAAAATAATATTAGTATTCGGCGATTTTTTTTCGTAAGACAAATCTTAAATTATGTATTATGCCGAAATTGTATTGGTGTTTCTACAGATCGTTAACCAGCTTGATGACCAAACACATACGTACATACGTCGTAGGCGAATCAAACGTCATTAACGGACCATGTCAGTATTGTTCATATCTAATATATCAGATCTATAGGCGTAGCCCGCTTCAATCGATATTCCCTTTAATAATTCAAAACGGCGCCGTGTGATCGTACAAGTGTGACGGTTATTACTCTGTTAGGTAGGCAGCCCTTAGTCATTGATGAAAATAATTTGAGATGGGTAAAGGTGTACCATAGACGATCGTCTATGGTACACTAACAGCTCTCTGCTGCTTCAGTTCATGCAACTGAAGCGGCAGTTAAAATAAAAAGTATCAACAATTGTATGCATCTTCTTACTAGCTTTTAGCTTCGAATTCGTTCGTGTGGATATATTAACTGACCAAGATCAAAGTAGCCTATATCCTTCTCCCTCCCATGTAAGTGTATGCCAAATTTCACAGTGATTAGTGAAACCGTTAAGATGCTAAGGTAATAAATACTTAAGATACATACTTTCAATTTTTTTTTTATATTTATAAGTTACACAGTTGTAACATTCCAACATTCAAATATAAGTATTAGTGTATTAATTAGTAATTAGTAATAGATTGTAATTAGTGGCCCCATTATTTTTTTCATGGCTTATAATAGATGGGAAACCCTGTCTGCGCCATTGGAATATGCTGCCGGGGTGCCAGTGAGAGATGATAGATGAGGATAAAACAGGTCAGTTGGCCCATAATGACAAATTCATAAAGAATTCATCAAGATGGTTTCCGGGGATATCCGCGTGGAGGTCGACCTGATAGGGTATACTGCTAGTAATTGGATCATTATACTTCATTGCTAACAATCTCTTCTTCCCAGGCGCCATTGGTACCTTTATACCTATTAGGGCAACCTTCTCGCCGTCATCCTGATAACCACCACTGGTTCTAATTCCCACACAATTGGCTGACATACCTGATTTCATCTTCGCTAGTCTACGATGGTACCTGGCCAGTGTAAACCAATAGCACAGACAGAGTAACTTATCCATTCTCATCTACTAAAAGAAAATTCTAATATTTTTAAAAACTTTTTGAATTGTAATAAAAGATTTGGATAGTTTTTCAAAAGAGCGAAATCTCCTCACTAATAATGTACTAGTTAATAAAACTTTAAATATATAATTATGAAATAAAGTTCCCGTCATAGCCCGAAGGATAAGCAAGCTGAGGGAGCAATGGGCTAGTCACATAACTTGAAGAACCGACAACCGATGAGGAAGAAAGGTACTTGAGTGGCGTCTTCGTACGGGCAAACTCAGTGTAGGACAACTCCCCACTAGATGGAGTGACGACCTCAAGTACATTGCAGGGAGTCAGTGGTTGCAGGTGACTCAGGACTGTTCTTTATGACAGTCTATGGGGGAAACCTATATTTAGCATTAGACGAATGATGGCTGAGATAAATGTGAATGTGAGTTTTGTTTCTTATCACTTAGCATCTTGACGGCTCAAACAATCGTCATAAAATTTGGTATAAATTAATATAAATTTTATGATATATAGAGTATGAATAAAGAAATAGCCTATTATTATATTATTTTTCTCGGACAATCAACATATCCTGGTCACGCGGAGGAATCCGTGGCTAAAAGCTAGTTTATAATGTTTAAATAGCAACAGGGGCAAACGACGATGCATAAATTTACTAGTACTTATTTACTTTATAAATTTAGCACAGATTTCTCAAGCGATTCTTTGATGGGAGCATCAACAGATGACTTCATCTGTAAACTTACGCACACCCAAATAAATATTGGAAGACTTCAAATACAAATCCATTTCTTGAGAGAGATCTATCACTTGAAACCGTTATATGATGTTTAGCAAATATAATTTATAATTTATTATACAATATGTATAATAAATTATGAAATAACGAAATGACGAATTCCACAATACACTAATCACGATGTTTTCCAAGGGGAATCGCGTAGAGGTCGACTTGATAGGGTATTTTTTTATTTAATGGGTGATAATGAAATGCTAACCTCGCTTGCACTATTGCTTATCTGGTATTCGCTGACAGGAGCACCAGTGTAGGATGATAGGTGACGATGAAAGCAGGTCTGATCCATAATATTAGTAAGGGTACCATCTACTGTTTATTTATTTAACTTTTATATACATAACAAAAGTGACAAATGGCGAACATAATACTTAAAGGCATTCTCTACAATTTGACAAAAAAAATCTTATAAACTCTCCAGCCGTTATAACGTGAAACTCTGATATAAAACACAGTTACGATTCAGCATCGTCTATATTATAGACCTATATGGTCACGAGTAATTT